TGCTAGGTAGTGGAGTGGGATGGAATGATGAGATTATTTCTAATCTTGGGAAGGCTGATTGCAAGGTAAGAAAAGTAACAGATGTATAATTAGCCAGCCAGATGTCCTACTACTAAGTACGTGCTAGGAATCTGACTTTCACCAATTTATGGGCATTTTTAAGCTTTTATCTTCTCTTATTTAAATGAGATAATAATATATCATATTTTAATTAGATTAATATGAGTATTATATTTTCATATCTTCTTTTTATTTTTTATATTTGTTATTTATATTATAATTAAAATTATATTTTATTATGTAATAATCATATGATATATAAAATAAAAATGAGAATAATAACCCTCATGGAGTCTCAGCAAGGATTCAAGGAAATAATGCTTGTAAAGTTTGTAAGTAATAAATAATATTTGTAAGGCATTTAATACAGTGACACACAGCTGAAGGAGAGCAGAATATGCCACCCATAATATGCGTGTAACTCCTGGGGAAAAATATCTTCCCAGCCCAGGGCAAGCTACCTCTGATGCCAAAATCAGTCAAAGGGAGAAATAAAGTGGGAGAGACCCATTTATTGCTTATAAGCAGTTGTCACTTCTGTTCACCTGTGTGTCTCACAACCTGGATGCAAAAAAAGTCCCCACCCAACCTCTCTGGTCCAGATATGGACTTGCTCCCCCTTGTAATCACCTATTGATATGGAGATGGACTACTTCTTTCCACCCCTTAGAAACAGTTATTGATATGGAGATGACTAAGGCCAGGCAACAGATTCTGGAAATGTTGCAATTTTACCCACAATACCCCTTTGACATATTGATTGTTTTGAATTAAAGTTACATTAAGAAACAGCCAGTGCAAAAGCACTTGGATCCTCCTTTGTCCTGCTAAAAGCAGGAAATAAATCTCTTACGTTAAAGGTACCCTCTCTGTACCAGGAAGTTAGAGGCATTCTTAACACCAGAGATATGGAATTTAAGGCTAGGAGGCTGTATGAACAGACCTTATTACTTTTTCACGAATTTCAAGCTCAAACCCTTTGGTCTTTTCAATTCTTTACAAGTTATTTTTTCCTTGGCTAAAAGGCATAAAAGCTACCTGTTTCGGTCACTTCTTTGCATCTCATATTTTTATGGGCTACTGTATACACATAATTCAATTTTTTCTCCAGTTAGTATGCCTTATCTTGACATTATTAGACCAGCCAAAGAACCTAGAAGGAAAGATGGGAAATATTTTCCTTCCCTACGGATCCAACACTCAATAAAATTTAGCCATTAGTAATATGGAGATTAGAGCCTTGTTGAAAGAATAATAATTGTAGTTGTTAAATAAGAAATCCATGATACCTTCCAGAAGATATGCTAAAGGTGATTATTTCTCTAAGACTTTAAAGAAGGAAAGGTAGATGTGCATAGGAAATGGAGAGCTTGAGAAAGCCTGGCTGAAAGCGCCTTATGCATGTGGTGGGGTCTTATTCATAGCTCCTCTCCTGCTATGTCAGGGTGCTTCGCTTATAAAATGTGCTCATTGAACACTGATCATTTGAGTTCTCCTTTGAGTTAGGAATCCCAGAGATCATTAGGGTTTGTACAATGAGAGGATATAATCTCAGTGGAGCATAAATGGAACAAAGATGCAAAGGCAGGAACAAGAATGGCCTGAGTGCTGAGTGACCTTGATTACACTAGACCCCTCTCACACGGGCTGGCAGCGGGCAGCCAAAGGAAGCCCAGGAAGACATGGCAAGCCTTTGGGGAGGCTTAAGTAACTAGATGGAGAGTAGAAACTTAATTTTAGTAGCTTTGGGTGGTTAAAAAGCAATTGAACAAGGAAGCAATGTTCATAAAATTTTAGCTAAGAAGAATCTGTGATAGTCATGCAGAATGATTAAAAGGTAAAGCTATAGGGAAAAATTATCACTCACATCTAAGACAATGAGAATTTCAATTTCAATGGTAGAAAGCAGACTGGAAAAGGGAAAACTTTCAATATTGCAGGTTATTTACAGATACTGTTTCATTTAATCTTCAGTGAAGTAAGCCTTACCCTCATTTCACAGGTAAAGAAACCAAGGCTAAGAGAGATTACTAGTATGCATGGAACCAGAATTTAAAGCCAGGTTTTCCAAGTGTCAAGGCATGATTGGGATCATGCCCACATTATTGAGAAAAGAGAGCCAGTTTGCAAAAGATAATGAATTTAGCTTTCAAAATATTGAATCTGAGGCAAGAGTAGGGAACAAAAGTGCTGAAATGTGTGAAATAATTTCAAGGACAAATTAGAGCTGAAGGTAAACATTCAGAAGCCAGTTGAAACAATGTCCTAAGCATAAAAAAGTAAAATCTTAGAGTCAGGAACATTCTAAGGGCAGGATTAAAAGTTGAAATTATAACGAAAATAGAAATTAGAATTAAAAAAGTAACAAATGATATAAGTAATGTGCAAATAGATTTTTTTTTGAAAGTAGGATCTATCAAGTGCCACTGAACTCAGAGTTTCAGGTGTTTATTTGTGTATATACATGTAGATAAGAAGGAGGGAGTCAGTGGTGAATGAATAACAACAGGCAGTGTGATATCAGAGCAAAAGACTAGCCCGGAGAATGGGAAGATCTGGGTTGCAGCCCCAGCTGTTTTTCTGTGACCTCAGTAAAATCATCAAACTTCCCTAGGACTTAGTTTACAAATTCGGGAAGTGAGGGATTTAGTAGAGATAATTCCCAAATGTCACTCTTAGTGTTGACATTGTAAGCTAAAAGGGAATAAGTTTTCAAAACAAGATAAGGTTGGGTGCACAATTTTATGATTCGTGTATTCAATCAACATCTATGATGTCTGTGTAATTTATTACATCTATGTCTCTGTATGTGTAGTGGGAGTGGGGAGAAAACTTGATGTCTACTGTCAAGTTAGAGAACTGAAGAGATGCTCATGGTTAATTACAAAGTAGAAATTTCCATCTGTCACAGAAAGTATTAAGAAGCTATGAAAGCTCAAAGAAAGAGAAGTTGCTTCCAACCTTGAGAAGGGAGGCAATGGTGAGGACTTGAAGGGATCTACCAATGAGCTCTCAGAAGCCTCCCACTGTAGACCCTAGTACGGATTAAGCTGAGAAACTATTCGTCAGTTAGTGAGAACCTTTAGTCCTTCTGTTGGATGTCACTATTAAATCCAAGGCAAATTTGGCCTGGTGACCAGTCTAGGAGTGCAGGAGTCAAATCCTAGAGCTATGCTACTTACTAACTGTATGATCTTGGGCAGAATTCTTAAACCTTGCACCCTCAGTTCCTGGGTTTGTGAAATGAGATGCTGTTAGTCCCTGCTCTCCAAGGCTGCTGTAGAGAATATATGAGATAACACATTTAAGTTCTTAATGATCTGGGCATTATACTAGGTACCCAATAAATATTAGCCATTACGCTTTCATAAAGAGAAGATCCTATTAGACTATCTATTCTTACAGGTCCCGTTATGGGGAGACACTGAACTAAATTACATGAAGTAGGTTTGATTTCTGTCTTTGTAGTTAGTTGCTTAACTTTGAGGAGCGGCTCTATGTTGGAGCACTGTTTTATTACTTAGCCAGGCCATTTACGATTCTGCCTTATCTGTCACTTCTGCTTGCCCTGAGCTTAAGATCAGTCAGTGGGGAAAGTTTAGGGTCTTCTCAGTTCTTTTCTGACTTCTCTTGTCCTGGGCACATGCATGGCTTTCTAAATTCCCCAGCATACATGACCACTTTTGAATGCCCTAGTTTCCCACAGAAACTCTCTCCCAGGCTTTTCCTCTTGTTCAGACAAGTCTCTTGTATGTCTCAACCCAAGCATAATTCTTTGTCCCATGAGGCTGTGGGTTTTTCAGATCACCTTACAATGTTTTTAAGCAGTGACCACCAATTTTCTGCCCTCAGTGGAGTTCCAGTTGGAGAAAACAGATAAGCACCTTGTTCCTTCAGGTAGCCAGCCCCTGGATAGGTTAGTTCAAGTAAACACAGCAACTTGTGAATACTGTCTGCTTTATTCCTTCCACAACCAAGGACCAGGTCTCACTACGGCACAAGGGCTGTTGTGTTCAAGCCTGCCATAGATCCCAGGAGACAGGTAGGGGCAAAAACAAGTAAAAACATAAAGTTTTCCTAACATTGAGTTGGCTTCCTCTTAATTCTGCATTCAACTTGGTTGCTGTAAACTTTGGTCCAGAGTTCTGACAGTTTCTGGTTGTTTAAGTTTCTACAGAGGGACAGAAGTTTGGAGCTGCCTACTCACCATCTGCTGTTGTCATTCCCCCAGTTGCTTAACAGTGGACAAATCACACTTCTCTGTATCTATTTCTTCCTAAATGGCAACACTCAGAAAATAACTGAGGACTGTTATAAGGACCAAACATGGGTATGTATAAGGCTTTTACAAAATAAAATGTATATGACACCTTATTTTTTAAAATGTTGCCTTTTTTGTAGGCCACATCATATTTACATCAGGATTTTTTAAATGGTGGGCCAAAAATATTAACTTTAGATATGTTTTTCTTGATCTTCATTTCTACTGTTAAAAAATAAAGACAGAGGCCCAACGTGGTATCACTTCTGCCAGGCCAAGTCCCCAAATCAGAGCCTAATACCCAACTTGATTGTAATTTCAACCTCTCCCAGAAATGTAGTCAGTCAGGAATTATCTGGTCAACATCAATAAGATAGTATCACATGTCTATAGTATGATCTTTTAGGAAAATAACTAGATGTATCCATGCCATACCACTTGATGTACTGATAATGTAACTTTTGTACACATATCCCATTGTAGAGGAAGTATTTAAGATAAACCCAAAGGGGGTTTATCAGAACACACTGATGGGCTGTGCTCAGGCCATGGTGCTCAGTAAGACTATGAATAAACTCTTTCTGATATTTAAGTCATGTTGATTTCTACCTACAAAAATATCTTTTCTTTTACCACCAGCCTGAGTAGTTCTCTAGCATCAGTAAAAGAAAAATGCTGGTTTTATTTCAACATTTTATTGAACCTTTTCATATTACACAATTTACCTAAAACATTTAAAATACTAGTGAGACAAAAAAAACAACTTAAAAAAACACACACACATAGAGACAAAACACCTCTTCTAGCTGAGGTAATATTGTGTAAGATTCATTGTCAAGTCACACATTTTTATTACTGTGCTATACAACCTGGTACCAGATTAATGATAATTACTCAGAAGAAAGACATTATACATCCAGTTTATATTAGAGAAAGCAGCAGAAGAGTGCAACTATTTGAAAAAGTGCCAAAGTATCGCTCAAATTCAATTGCAACCTGAATCATTTCTGAGATTACTTTATTTGCTTATTTATTATTGAAAATAATTGCTTCAAACCTATCTTTCCAAGAGCTGGCAGAATAGACTTATGTTCCAAAAGATCAAGTATGCAAACTGAGGGCAAACATCCTCCACCGTCTGTTAAAAATATATTAAAGCAGCGTGTTTTGTTTTATTTTCTGAGCAGATGTATGAATACACAGAACTATTGAAGCGTTTGTGCCCAATCAGCAAAGTGAGTGCTTCATGCAGTTGGTACGAAGCCAGTGCTAAAAAGACAGATGTGAGTAGTCTGACATATCTGCAAAAGTGAGCAAGACCTCTTACCTCTCCAGTGAATTCTGGAAACACTGGCTGAATTATCAAGTCCCCCAATCTATGACCATTTTGGAATTTGCTTGATTTTACTATTTCACTTTTATAACTAGAATGCTGAGAGTTTGGAGGCTTGAATAAATGTTATAAACCTAGGGATTATTTTTCAAGGGCCCATAGAGAAGGGTGTCAAGGAAGAGATTTACATACAGATTTATTAAATCAATTCATAATTCACTTAACACAGTAAAATTAATATTTACCAGGTTTTTCAGTTTACAGTTCAACTGATTTCAGAGTATCTTATTTAATAAAGAAATCCTGGAAGGTAAGGCAAGCACATCATACTAGCTCTGCAACCAAACTCTGGCTTGTGAAGACCACTGGGCCCACAGAACATTTTAGAAGAATCTTATTCATGATACTATCAATCACACTGAATTAAAAAATATTCTGAGCTATTATGATGTTAAGAAATATAGCCTATGGATATTTGATTTTGGCACCTATCTGCTAAAGTAAAGCAATTTTAAAAACAGAAAGAGTAAGTCCAATGTTTCATGTATTCCTTTCTAAATTCAGTTAAACGCATTTAGCCAGCATTTAAGTGCTTGGATTTGACTTTATATTTTAACTAATTTGGAATGACAATAAAAAATAATTAGCAACTTACTCGCTACATTTCAATTTTAGTTATGTTAATTTGTATTCTTTCTCTAGAGACAGAAAATAAAACCAAACTTACTTTTGTGTGGTTCAGACTATCAGTCTTGTCATGATTCTAAAATGAAGGATTCATATAACTGAATCTTCATGCTAACTTCCATCAAAGAATCTTGAAATATCTATTTTTTATCTTAAAGGACTCCATGGATTTTCACTAGTAAATACTTGATTCCATTAAGATTCTGTTCTAGAAATATTCTGATACTTGAAATTTTCTGAAGTTTACTCTTACTTAAAACCATCTTTTTGAATTCAATAAAAACTAAATAAAGGTTTTTAGGAGATTATAGTATAAACATCTAAAAATTTACTTAGCAGCTCAAAAGCAAAGAAAACAATTTAAATGCCATAGGCTGGACAAAATAAACCATAATCTAAAAAGATTACCCATAAAATATCATATATGCTCAGTGGTATTTAATTTTATTTTCCCTCTCTTGGTAGAATTTAAAAATGGGAAGTTTATGTGCTTTAGTAAAACACACACACACACACACACACACACACACAGAGCACAAGACAGTAGAGACAGCTGCTATTTAAATACTGCTTCATACTTTTTGGATACCATTTTTTTGGTTCCAACACTATTAATAACAAAGAGTAACCATTTTGCTGACATTTAACCAGTAAAATAAATCTCAAGTTTGTATCCATTCTAGGTTGGATGACAGTGTGAAGTCACTGCACTTCAATGTGCTAAAGGGTTCATAGTAAAACTGTGATCACTCTCGTGAGGAAATAAAACTTTAAAATGTTTAATGATGGATCAGTCAAACGTATATCACTCTACTAATATAAAGAGATTTACCCACCAAATTCAATTTAGGAACAGACAGAATTTTATTAAACTGGTGAACAATTTTTTTGTTATTGTATGTTGAGACTTAACTTCTTTTCCTCATCCATAAAAAGCAAGTACAAACTCCCTTTTGTCAGTGTTCATCCAAACAAGTTTAAATAAAAGGCGATAAAGATAAACCTGCTTTTCCCTTTACTTATTACCTAGGTTGGAGAATGAAACTATGAAGAAAAACTGCTCAAAAACCAAAACTGTAGCCATTATTTAATGATGATTATACAGAAGGCAAGAGGCACAGTTTTAATTGTGTCTCCTCTAAGACACAAGTCATTCAGAAATAAAAGGTCAGTGACGTTCCTTTTAGTAAACAATTTATGATGTGGAAACAGTAATAGTCATGATTATTTTCTATTCTCTCTCTCTTAAGACTGATTCTAAAAACAACCTGATGATTCACATAATTATGTAAGCAAGTCAAACTTCATAAACGTATGACAGATTTTAAGTTGCTGGCATTGAAACATTGGGTTTAGATATGAACAAGTGTGCTATTAGCCTTAAATCTTTTGGGTACTTTGGCTTATAATGTTTTATTCTGATACTCAGGCAGAAAGTATTATGACTTCATTTTATGCAATAAGCTGATCTAAGAGTGGAAAATGTGCATGGATGAAGAAAATTCCAAGCTATATGTGTGTACATAAATGGCTTTATGTATATATATAGCCATTACAAAGTTTCAGAGGGACAATGCAATTTAAAACCCCACTCCTCTTAATAGACAGGCTGCCAAATCTCATCCTTCTCATCTTTACCATGACATATTTACTTGCTTAAAGGTAAATTGTGACCTCCTGCTACTATATATTAAGGATAACATATCAAGATCAATCTAGAAGGTGAAATAAACAGGTAATAAATATTAAAGTCAGATGGAGTAAATTGAACTCTGTGAAATTTTATGTTCACTGACAAAGTTTGCTTCTGCCCAGGATCATTTTTTAGTTCAGCATAAGTGCTATGCTAGCTAGAATTTAACTCATATACGTGTTACATTTACTCAGTTTTCAAACTTGGAATACTTAGATCCAAAATATATACCTATGTTTTAAAGAAAAAATGAAGAGTCAATATAATCAGCATGGGCTTTTCCTACCAGTTTTAGTTTCTCATCCAATTCCCCCCTAGTAGTTCACCTTTATCCTTCATAATTTTACTACAAAGTATTCACATTGTGTCTTTTAGACTAACTGGGAACTTAAATCTCACACACTGTTTTGAAGAAGGGTAGAGTAAATAACTTTGGTAATCTGTAAAACAGCTGCATGCAGTGTGTACTGTATTATAACAGTGCCAAACCCTTTATAAAAACCAAGCGTTCCTTCCTCCTGCCTTATGGTATTGATACAGTCTCTCATTCCCTCGTACTGTGTGTTAATTGGAAGCACTTCATAGCCAAGGTCTGTATTGTCAATTATCGTGCGTGTTCCTTGAATGTGAAGGCGGTGCAAAACTGTTTCCATTGGGTAAAGAATAACATCAGAGCAAAGACTGGCGGCAAAGTTAGCAATGAGTTCCGGAAAATAAGCATCCAACATACTCTGCACCGGGCTTGCGCTGTCAGCTAGGTGGCTACTGTAAGTCTTTCTTTTTAAAATCAGCAGGACAAATTTCTGGATGACTGAGCTGATGATGTAATGAAGAACCCCATGCAGCACCGTAGGGAAGACCAGGGAGAGAAGCGGGAGTAGTCGCTTGCTATGAGGCACCCCCATGCCTATCACTCTTCCAATTCCTTCTTTAACACATTCCAAAATTCCAGTATTATCTCGGATTATCTCACTCTGAAATAAAAATGATGACACGAGTAAAAGTTAACATTTGCTTCTTTTTGCTACAAGGGTGGACTTTGGTTCCTTTTAAACCCTAATTTATTGACTAAAGAGGGAAAACACATCAAGGGTTTGGCAAACTTCAAACTTCAAATCTAGACATTGGATTCTTTTTTCAAGTGAAAATTCATAACATAGTTAGCAGTAAAGCTGGGAACTATTCTTAATTGGTAAAGAGAAATAAGGGAGGTGTGTAGAGGGGGACATACCAGTTTCCCCACCCTCAGGAAACTCCTTAGAACCCACTTGGAAGAGCAACAACTACATGACACCAAAGAGGTGTATAGTGCTTAGAGTTCTTAAGTAGCATGGGTTTAAATCCTGCCTCCATTGCTTACTAGTTATGTGTCCATTATGTGTCCATGGGCAAGCTACTTCCCCTGAGTCAGTCACCATTCTATAAAAACGGGATTAGTACTACCTACATTTTATGCAGAGTTGCAAGGAGTATTAAATGAAGAAAGGCCTGGCTCCCAGAAGGCACTCAATAAATGTTAGTCATTGTCTTCCACATCTCTGCCTTTGCACAGTTTTGGAAGTCTATATAACAGTTTGTGATACAGATTATATAGGCATGGATAGGCCAAAAAGGAATAGCTAAGAGGTCAACTGTGCTATAGCAGTGACTGAAGACAACAGTATAAAATGAAGTTAAAACTGTAGTCAGGGGCCATATCATGCCACTGCGTAGACTGTGGCTTCTAGTCAGATGGGAAATACTGACTACAACTTATGCTACACTGGCTGTTGTGCAGAAGTGGACAAGAACGGAGGCTGAGAAACCAGTTAAAAGTTACTTATACGGGAATTACTCATGGATTGGATTTGGAATATGAAAGAAAGAAGTCAAGGATGACCTCAAGGCTACTGAGCAGAGGAAGTGGAGGAAAAGTAGTGCCTTTTACTGAGTTGGGAGGTACTGCTGGGGTAGCATTTAGGGGAAGAAGATCAAGAGTTTAGCAATGTTAAGTCTAAAGTGTAAACTCCAAGTAGGTTTACAATGTAGATTATAAGGAAAAGGTCCAAGCTGGGCATATGAATGTGAGAGTTTCAGTAACAATATAGGTAAAACCATGAGATGAAAATGAGCTCACCTAATCTACTAATCCATTTCCTTATTTCTGACCCTTGATCCCTTCCCACTGCAGTCTATTTTCAACATACCAACCAAGGACTCTAAGACATAAGTCAGATCACATCACTCTTGCGCTCAAAGACTTTCTGTCTCCCTGGGCAGGCCAGTTATTACAATGGTCTCCAGTGTCCTATATGATGTCTCCCTCTTTCCTCTCAGACCTCATCTCCTCCTGTTCTCTCCCTTGCTAAGTTAAATCCAAGTATATTGGCTTCTTTTTTGCTCCTCAGACATGTACAACACAATCCCACCTCACAGTCTTTGCACTTGCTTCCCTTTGCTTAACATGTTCTTCTCCAAAACATCCATGTTTATGCTCAGACCTTTACTCAAATGTCACTTTCTCAGGCCTTTCCTCATCTTAAAAAAATAGTATACCTGTTAACTAAACCTCAACACAATGCCAAATGCATGGGGGTAGGAAAGCATATCTGAGTAGCAAGACATTAACCTTAGTTAACTGAAGTTAATTCTAAAAAAATAAAAAATAAAAAAATCAACAATGGGGTCAGAAAAGCAACTAAGTGGAAGAGTAATTACAGGAAGAAAGGCTGCTCAGTGAGGTATTCATGCAGAGGAAACTCATACATACTGAAGATGTGATGTCAGAGGCAGAAGATAGATGGTACACAGTGAGTTGATTTTCTGTTTAGGTAAAGTCAAAACCATTTTCACCTTATAGTTTTAAGGGCAGGAATCGTGAGAGAAGTACATTAATTCAACGTACCTGAAGCGCCACCATGTGGTTAAACTAGTAAAAATTTAAAATGCTAGCAGGAGACTGCTTTAGGTTTGTGGTACTTAACATACCACGGCATCAAATCTTTCTTAAAGGCATATTTTAAAAAAATGCTGTTAGTAAATTACCTATGGAGACTACCTGTTCATTGTTAGGATGAATATCCATCATGTTTCATTCTCAGGTAATTAGTAATTTATTGTCTATAAGCCATAACCATTTGAACTATACATGAGGTTCTTTAAAAAGTTGAAAAAAGCCCTATAAATTCTTTGTGTTCAGAACAAGACATAGGCTAGGTTTTGAGATATCTGACTGAAAGGTACAGCTGCCTATGGAAGAGATAAAAAGAATTAAAACTAGAAGTGCAAAGTAAGTTTGCAAAGGATATATACATACCAGCAATGTGCCTAGTATATATAATCTTTGATATATGTGTGCTGTCAAATAAAAATTTTTAGAGGAATATTGTCTTAAATTTCTGTTATACAATCAGACATACACAATATATTGGAAACTCCAAAAAATATTTTAAACTAATAACAGACAATAAAAAATAGCTCACCTGTACTGTTTCAATTAGACTTGCTGAATAAAAAGGCATTGCCACCACATAAGTCAGGCTGTAGAAATAAAATAAATTTATCAGTATACTGAAACGTGCTTATACCAAATGTTTCAATATCTTCTTTAATATATCAACATAATTTATATTTAAGCCTGAATAACGTTTTTAACTTTTTCAACTATTAATACCGATAGCACAAAGAACTTGTAACATAGGATATATTATTCAACAATTAGAGATGGAAAATTAAGTATTAATAGTAACACAGGGACAGTCTGGAAAGAAAATAGATTGTATTTTAAACATGTAAAATATACACTCATTTATGATTCACACTTTGGACGTCTACCTACATATAGCTGATGTAGCTTATGTATCTAACACTTAAAATTTAGGATGAAGGATCTATTTCATTCCTTGCCTTCTTAATGATATTTGAACAAATTCACTGTTCTGCTATTTTCCTATTTATTTTCACTTTCCACTCCCAGATTTCCCACCCAGGGGAACAGCCAGTCTTCAATGGTGAGTGAAGTCCCCTTTTATTATTATAAAACAATATTGTACAGCTTTGCAAAGTTGTTTCCCATAACCACTATTTAGACAAAGTAATATTACAACTTTGCAAGCCTGCAAAATACAGTTATTTAAAATATATCAAGGCGGGACTTACCTAACCCTATGGGCCAGTTCCTGGCAAGTAGTAGTTCTCAAGGTGAATGAACATCACTAAGTAACAATGTGCTGGAATGTCCCACAGAGGGAGCCAGCAAGGTGGGGGGTTTCCAATTCATAATCTTCAAAAAAAATTTAAAAAGTGAAGAGTAAAATTGTAATCTACAAAAATGGTCAGTGTTGTAAAATCACTACGTTCCTTTAGGATAATACTTTAATGATGCTAAAGTTTTGAGTTTGCTCATCATCCTACAAATAAATTTCTATCTGTGTTTAATAATAATAAAATATTTTTCCTGGCAAGTGGGTTAACAAGTTGAAGACCTTTGCTGACTTCCTAAGGATACCAAAAAAAAAAAGTTTGTGATTTCAGCCTTTCCAGTTACACTTATTTCAAGATAATATATACTTCAAGATTTTATTCCTAAACTCTGTTACTTGTCTTTTGAATCTCTAGTACCACAAATAATTTATTGCTCTAATTTCCTTCACTATATTTAATAAGATATTTTTTTCAATTCTAACACTATAAAAATTAATGAAAAATTTCAATATAAATGACTCTTTTGATACCTACGATTTCAGTAGAAGGTGTTCTCCTATTCGTTTAAGATTCCATTTATGTGAAATCTCCCTAAAAAATAAATTTAAATAAAACAAAATCCATGTTATTCAAAGCCTCAAATTAACCCAGTTTTCAAAAAGGTAACCAATCTTTAATTCTTTTTAATCTGTAAGAGAAATACATTCTAATGGTGAACATTTTCTTTCCTGGGACACACTTCAAACAACTGCAATGGTTTGAAAACAGAGAAAATATACAAGGTGTTTTCACATGTGTTGATACAAAGGGCTGACAGAGGAGGAGTTGTGATTATAAGAATAAACATGAAAAATTAAAGGAGGAGATATAAAAATGGTAGGTTCAGGAAAAAAGGATGAGCAGGGAAGGGAAAAGGAAACAAGGGATAGAATAAAGGGGGAAAAAAGCATTAAAAAGTATGTAAGAATGGTAATTAAAAAAAGCAAAATTAAGTAACTGTAAGACAGGATGACACATTATATTTGTGTGGCAGCTAATTTCCCAAATGCCTTTACTTGCCATATAACTAGTTAGTGGTAGAACTGAATTCTAACCCTGGTCTCTATGACTTGAAGTCTGCACTCTGCCTGCACTGCCTCTCATCCCACTGGGTACAAGAAGGAACCCTGTTAACATAAACAGAGCATGTATTGTCCCATTTAATTTACTTAGGCGAAAAATAGAGGTTAAAAAGATCACAGGGTCATGTTCAAGGAGATAGGCAAAATGCCAGGTCTGAACCAAGTCCAGGACAGTGTGCCTGGAGCTATTTACGTTAATTCTGAAGCCAGAAAAGAAAGGAGAAAAGGAAGAGAGCGCGCTGAAAGAAGAACAAAACAGGAGAAAGTTACATCAAGAGAAAAGTCAACAGGAAGAAAAGAATATACAGAGTAAAAGGGAAAGAAAATGAGGGAGAAAAAATGAAAAGAAAGGCAGATAGGAGGGATGAAAGGTGGGGGAAGGAGAGGGGTGGAATGCCAGAGAGAGCGGGGTGTGAAATAGAGACTCGCTGCCAGCAGGCTCCCTGACGCCCCCTTCTCTGCACCACGGCCACAGCAGGAATCTGGGAAAAAACACTTGCTATTTGAAATGATTGAATATGAAATATGAAAAACATTAAGAAGATAAAGGAGTAAACATATTTTATATTAAAAAGGTAAAGAAATTAACCACTAATAACAATGTTCTAAAAACCATGCAGTACAATACCATGAGTGGTATGAGAACTTCTTACATTTTTCTAGGAGACTGAAAGGTCTACGGAGAAAGTTTTAGATAACAGAACAACCATATCTGATTTATAACACCTTATGGAGCCTTCCGGGTCATATTCTAATTAAATCAATACTAGAATACTACATTAGGCCTGAACAACCACAAAAAAGTATAGCTAAACATTCAATGATGAAAATGAAAAATGTTAAAAAAAAAAAAAGTTCCGGCCTCCCATCGTATTGACAATGACTTTACAATTATCAAACAAAACGTGCAACACGGTTTGTAAATCATCTGGGCGCTATTAATTATGGCCTCAGGAAGTATTACCATTTGTTATCCTCACATTGATTTTAAAGATGAAACTCATTAACATTAGGGATAGACAGGTCTGTGAACTCTATTTCTGTAAGGACTGTACCACTTCTCTTTTGAATACAGTACTAATTTCTACTAATTCTAGAAATCATTAAGTTTATTATAAAAGAGAGACACATGAAATTTATAATCAGGTATAAAAAAATGTGAGACTCTCTTCCTCATACTCCTCTACTGCAGCTAAAATGGTTACGTGAAACTTATTTCCACAGCTCTCAAAATTCAAACTAGCATATTTAAATGCTTCATGAAAGCAATTAGTATAAAAATTGACTTGATTAAACTTCTTTACATTTAATTAGCAAATACCAAAATATGTGTGAATATATTCAATTCACTATTTTCATAAGCAAAACCTGCTCTTGCAAACTCTTGAGAAGCGACTTGCTTTTTCCCAAGATAGTTCTCCGTTTGATAGATTAATATATGTACTCCCATGAATAATCAATACACAAAAGCAATGGAATTTTTCAGTAACTCTATATTTAAACAATTTTTACTTACCATTGTCTCTCTTTTTTCATGTGTCAAAACAGCTGTCCTTTTAAAAAAGAAAACTTTCCTTCTATTAAGCACAAATCCCTCATCTTCTGGCTACCTCTCCTCATCTCTCTTCTTCATAGCCAACTTTATAAACTTGCTATTTCCATGTCCAAACATCTCACTCACCTCTGAACCCACTCCAAATTGGTTTCTACCCCATTATTCTATGGAAAGAGCTCTTGCCGAGGTCCACATGACCTCTGCATCACTAAGCCCAGCGGACATTTGTAAGTCTGTGCCTCATTATCCTTTCAGTAGCCATTAGGCACTGGTGTTCCTCCCTCCTTGAAGTAATCTCTGCCTCCCACTATCCCATACTCTTCTGAGGTTTTTCTGCCTCTTTTCTGGTCCCTTTGCAGGAAGGACCATTTTCTGACCCAGCCACCTATTCTGGAGTTCCTATAGGCTCAGGCCCTCTTCTTACTGTGTATGTTATACTCCTTTCCCAGGCAATTTCATTCATCCAATATACTGGTTTAAAACCCCCCAAATCTACTATCTTCAGTTTAGACGTCTCTGTATGTCATCCTTATATCACCTGTCTACTGACAACTCTGAAGAAATCCACTGAACTGGGGAAAGATTTCATTGTGTTTAAAATAGAATGTGTTTAAAGTCAGTGAATTCAGAGGAGTCCTTAGGAGAGACAACATGAGGAGAAAACTGTCAGATGTTTACATTGGTACAACTACAAATGGGAGATGAGTCAAACTGAGCTGGAATAACCACATGGGTTTTGTGAGCGACTAGACTACACACAGCCTTGGTTACAGGCGGCTCCTCCTGTTAACGATGTGAGAAATGCCCATGGCAGGAAAGGGGACTGCAGGGTGGAGCAATACATAGTCTGCCTCACTTCACCTGAAGGAAGGTTTGGGGATGGAAAAGGAAGGGGTATGGGCAGTAGATAATGAAGAGATACAGATGATGAACCTGGGTTACATACATTTTTTTGTAAGTATAAAACGGAGAAACTGTAAGCTTGGTGACTTAACAGGCACTACTGACTAGCTCATTTTATCTCACATGTGATCATAATCAATATAAAAAAACTAAATATTGGTGAATTTATACTGTCTCACCTGTTCTAATCAGCAATCACTATTAAGGAACCTCAGTCTAGGAGACTCCAGAGCTCAGTGCCTTCGTGCTAACATCTGTGAATTGCTTTGGATTACTGCTTTGCTTCCTTGTCAGCTAGACTTTGTTTTCCCCCAACAAAGGTTAACCCTATCCAAAGAAGTTAGAATTAAAAAAAAAAAGTTTATGCTGTACTTTAGAGAATGGCTTTATCTAACATCCAGATACACAAGCCAAAATCTTAGAAGTCATTCTTGACATCTCTCTCTATCATCTACCACCTTGTGCCCATCACCAAGTTCCATCAGTTTTACCTAAGCATGTGTCAAAATTAATCCATTTACACATCCATCTCAAAAGATACTACCCTGGTCCCAGCTGCCATTCCTTCTCAACTAGATTATTGCTATAGCATATGAACATGTACCCTTTTGTCCACTTTGGTCTTCCCACAATCTATTCACCTTTAAAAACATAAATCTAATCATGTTATCGATCTCTGCTTATAACTCTTCAATCCTTAAAGTGGCCTACAAGGCCACGCATAGACTGGCTCTTACCTACTTGTCAGCATTCCCTCCCACGGTTCTCCATTGTGCTCTGAGCTCCAGTCATATGAGCCTACTCACAATTACTTGAAAACTCTCCATGTTCCCCCAGCCACATTTATTTACACAAACTGGTCTGTGCTTCCTAATTTATTATTATTAAAAGTTCCTACCTTTTAATACTTTCAAAGAACCATATTCTTTTCCTTCAGAGAACAAATCTCAATTTGTAATTATTACTTATTAGTGGGATTACTTGACTTAATGTATATCCCTCAGATTAAGGGATTCTAAGCTTCATGGTGACAGGTACCTTTTGTCTCCTCTCCTTATTGTATATCTGAGTCCAGCACAAGGCCTCACACATAGTAGGTACTTGAGAAATATTAGCTAAGTAAATAAATGAAATTTGAGTGGGATTTATCACTAAAATTATCCAGGTAGAATACAACAAAGATAACCTTTGGTGTCTTCTTTAATAAGATTGAAAATGACAAAGAGTAAATAACATACCCACACAACTGACAGGTCTACATGTCTACAGAGTAAGAAAGTTACATAATAAAATTTAATGAAATTCAGTGCCCTTCCACATTCTTTTATTGTCCTTCCCTTCAACATGGAGTTAAAGTTAATACTTCATCTCTGCTTTAGAGAAATGGCATTACTTGCATGAGGTACCAAAAATAAAAAGCAGCATAGTCAGGACAAACAGTGTTTTGACAGCAAATACAGAATGCTTTACCCTTTACCATATAGAAGTTCCTGAATTGGGTTTTTATAGAATTTTGTGTTAATAGAAAAACTTCAAGGACATTTGATGACAAGTGCTAGCTTCTGATCTTATCCTGTGATATAAAAAGCAATAGAGTAAATAAAGTTAGCCAAGAACAGAAATTCAGATTTTTAAAATATGAGTATGGAGATTTCTAGCTGGGCAAACACTTTGTTTTTAACTTTTAGCAAAGGTATATTAAAGGAACTTCAAGACTTTGAGGTCCTTTGAAATCAGCCACATTGGCAAAAAGCTTGATTATCAGCCTTTCCTGCCTTCATTTCCTTCCCTTTAAAGACTGGATCCCAAGATTGAGACACTGTGGCTATATCTTCAACTACCTCACTTCCTTGTCCATCCAAAAAATATCCTGCCAGGGGCCAACTTAGGATGAACAAGCCACTCAAGGTCTTTATACTATAGCAGGGATAAAGTGTTGACACAAAATCACAGAGTCCTAACAAATAGCACCTAATCAAATGCATGATTTCCAACATTATCTATTAACATTCCTCTCATATGGTCCTTGTAAGGCCCCCTTTCTGTTGTGCCCAGTGACTGCCCTGAACGTGTATCATTCTTCTCATGCTTTCCTACTGTGCGCTCAATGCTCATCCTTCTTTTACCTGGTGATCTTGTATTCTATTCCAGAGATAAGAGAGACCCAGAAGTCAGTTTCCCCAATTTCTCTATCCTCTTCCTCCATATCTATAATCCTAATTCTCCTTTTGTGGCTTCAAGGACAGTATTGTCCTATAGCTTTATTGCTCTTTTCTATTTGTTTTGGGAGCCTTACTACTCCCCTCAACTATACCTCCTACCACACATGCACACAAACACACATACTCACCCAAACACTTCCCAGGATTCTGCTCTTGGTCCATCTTCTATCATCTAGTCTACACCTTCTTAGGTAAATTCATCCACTCTGATACGTAACCTGCCACAACATTTAAAGCTATGCCTCCAGCTTCAAATTTTCTCTAAGACTCTGACCCACAGTTCCAATTCATTAGACCTGACCCCGACGTGTCTTACAGGAATCTCAAACTTTTATCTATTGAAAATTAAATTCCTTATCTTCTTTCTCACTCCAACTTACTCTTCTTCATGAATTCTCCACCTTGATTCCAATGTAGAAATCTCAGTCACTAATGACAATTCACTCTCCCATACCCCCATTCCCAATCTGTCACCAGTTACCAGTTACACTTCAGAAATATCTATCCAGTTCATCCCTTTCTGTCTGTTCCATAGTTCATCATCCCCTTCTCAGTCTGGCCTAGATTACTATAACAGTTCTCCACAGTCTGTCTACACCAGCTCATTTTTTTAAGCACTATAAATTGAGTTTTTGCTCAATCAAAGCATCCATATATTAAAAAAGAGAAAAAAAAAACAACTTTAGATTTTCAACTCCATAGAGAATGAAACTTAATCCCTTACAAAGGCACAACCATGCTTCAATCTAGCATCTCAGCCTCTTTTTTTATTAAGGTATCACTGATACACATTCTTATGAAGGTTTCACAAGAAAAACAGTGCGGTTATTACATTCACCCTTATTATCAAGTCCCCGCCATACCTCATTGCAGTCACTGTCCATCAGTGTAGTAAGATGCCACAGAGTCCCTATTTGTCTTCTCTGAGTTACACTGTCTTCTCTGTGACCTCACACACACACCATGTGCGCCAATGATACCCCACAATCCCCTTCTCCCTCCTTCCCCACCCACCCTCCCACATACCTCCCCTTTGGTAACCACTAGTCCCTTCTTGAGTCTGTGAGTCTGCTGCTGTTTTGTTCCTTCAGTTTTGCTTCATTGTTATACACCACAAAAGAGGCAAATCATTTGGTATTTGCCTTTCTCTGCCTGACTTATTTCACTGAGCATAATATCCTCTAGCTCCATCCATGTTGTTGCAAATGGTAGGATTTGTTTCTTAAGGATGAATAATATTCCATTGTGTATATACCACATCTTTATCCATTCATCTACTGATGGACACTTAGTTTGCTTCCATATCTTGTTTATTGTAAATAGTGCTGCAATAAACATAGGGGTGCGTGTTTCTTTTTGAATCTGAGAAGTTGTTTTCTTTGGGTAAATTCCTAGGAGTGGAGTTTCTGGGTCAAATGGTACTTCTATTTTTAGTTTTTTGAGGAACCTCCATATTGCCTTCCACAATGGTTGAACTAGTTTACATTCCCACCAGCAGGGAGGATGGTTTCTCTTTCTCCACATCCTCACCAGCTATTATTCCACTCTATACATACCCAATGGTCCAAGCATCAAGATGCTTGTGATGACCTTCAAACCTCCATAAAATTGAGCATGCTCTCTTGCCTCTGGTAGAAATGTTTCCCTTCTCTGTCAAGTCAATTCCTACTCATAATTCAAGCTCTAGCTCAGGTGTCTGTTCTCTTTTGAAATCTGTGCCAATACCTCCATGCAAAGTATTCTTTGCTATCTGAAGGGTTTGTTTAATAATAGCACCAATCACAATGTACTATAATTTGCTACATGCATCTCCTTCACCAAACTGGCTACTTAAAGAGCAGTAATTGCTCACATACCATGTCTGTTCCTTAGTGGATAGCTGCTGACATACAGCAGTAGGAGCTAAAAGATATACCTCAATAGATACTACACCAGGATGCATTTCATTATATACAAATTGAGGAAGATATAATTAACTTTATTCTCTGTTTCTTCTTGTAGCTTCAGGGAAGTTCAAGTCCATGGTATTTTTAGAAACCAACATATTCGGTCAAAATGTAATATGAGGTCAATATTGAGAAAAATGCCAAAAACATACCTTGGCAAAGGTGTGAATTCACTGATTATTCCTTCTGCTCCAAGTGTGATTCCCTGGACAATAAATGTACTTCCCATTCCTTTCCAAAGGGCCCTTGGTCCCTAAAATGAACAAAATTCATTGTTATTTCTGTTAGTGTCTAAATAAGAAACACAAAAAAGATCTTATAACTTGGTATTAAATGTTTACTGCTATTTTCCAATAAGGTATTATTCCAAAGGACATTTTAGTAGAGAACTACAACTAAATTAATTCCTAACATTACTTTAATATTTGTTGAATGGCCTACATTTAGGCCAAGATGTACACTTCAATGAATTAAATGTCTCTAATATTGATTAAATACTAGTATTTAATTTTGGCAAAGGTGTGAATTTTGATTATTCAATGACATCTAAAATATGTCATTACCATGTTACATTAGTTTTAGTACAAGAGTTAAGATAAATTTTATTAACTAAATTAAAAGCAATTAATGTTGCTTTAATTATCATTAAGGCCAAATGGTAGTTATATTATAAATAATGTTAATAGAATCTGTACACCAATCCTCACCTGAGTTTTGTTGAAGCTATACATAATATTAATGACTGTAAATGGAGTGAGATGATAATGCCGAGCATGATAATTAACCTGTAAAAAAAAGGTATTTCATGATTATGTTGTTACTATTTTGTCAAGAAATAACAAGGCCATGAAAGATATACAGTGGAGTTAAGAGCATAAACAAAAGTTCAATTCTAAAATCATAAATTACTCATAAGCAAAATTTTTCTTGGAAATGTCTTAAATAACTTGTGTATGACACATATGATTATATACATATATACATATGGCTATATATAAACAACTTGAAGACCAATGTATAAAATACAATGTATGTAGACTATGTAATAATGGTCTTGTTTGATCTTTCTGTTTCCTTTAATACTAGTATTACAGTCTAGTGTGGCAAAAATGTTTATGCTATTTAACATACAGGAACCACAACGAATTCAGGGTTCAGGAGATTTCTGTCTCCCAATGGCAAACATTTCTAAAACTATAAACTATAGGCAATTGGTAAATTATGAAAACAGTATAAGGGATCAGAACCAATACCTATATTAAGTGAAATAGTAAGAGTATCAGAATGCATCATACACTCTAAAGGTATTATTTCACAAAAGACATTTTTTAAAGTTACTCATATGTATGAATACATTGGACCACAATTTAGTATTTTCACAATGTAAAATATATGTCTGAAACTCATTATTCTGAGGCTATACACATACTTAAATGGCTATTTCTCTATACTTATTTTTTGGTGCTAAGCATGAACAGCTCAATTTGTAATTATTTATATATTGTTTAACTCCCATTTTCAAAGAAGATACATTGTATCATAGATTTTTGCTACAGTGTGGTCCAGTGACCCCCATGGGGTTCATTACCATTTCAGGGGATCGACCAGTTCAAAACTGTTTTCTTATTGATAACAAGCATCAATTGCCTTTTTCATTGTGTTGACATTTTCAATAGTACAAATGCAATGGAGGGTAAAAGTGTTACCTCCTTAGTATGAATCAATGCAGTGGCACCAAACTATATTTTTGAATTTACTGTATTCTTCATCCCACTCACTTGTAAGGAGGAAAAACCATTTTTACTAAAGAATGTCTTTGGTGAAGCAGTAAAATATATCAGTTTTATAAAATGTCTCTTGAATACATGCTTCTAATTAATATTCTGTGTTACATAGTAAAAAAAAAACTGTCATGAGGAAAAGACTTGTCTGTTGGTGTGTAGGCTGCACTAGCCACTTTTTTCATGGAACACCATTTTTTCTGGAAAAACTGACTAACAGATTCAGTTATTCACACTTGGGAAAGAGATATTCTTAAAAACGAATAAGGTGAGTTTGACTGAAAAAACAACCCTACAACATTTGTTGCCAATGATAATGTGAGTTTACAGGAAAAAACTAGAATTCTGAAAAACCTGGATACCCCATCAAGAGCTCACTAATACTGCAACAGTTTTTTGGTGGTATCAGTAGTGATTTTAATGACTTCTTTCTTAAATATACCATATAATCAAATTTCTTAACATTTAAAGATCTATATAACTTATAAAATCTACAAAACTTAGAAAATCAGCATATTTCAAATAATCAATGCATGATATTAGAATCACACATGGGTAGAAAGTTATTCAACATGCAGTATAGAGCAACAGATTTTAATCTACTACAGAAAAGGAGTATTTTTTTGTTACAAAGAGTATTAAATGATGTGGTGTCACATTTCATATTGCAAGTAACCTTTAAGAAGTTACTATTTGTTGAATTTTCATGTAGAATCAAAGAAGAGAATCTGCCAATTACCTGGAAAAGATATAAAATACTATGTTTTCAAATACATGCATGTATAGGCTAGACTTTATCTTCCAAAATGATGCATTTCAGCAGAAACAGATATGAAATATCTGGTTGTCTGCTATTATGACAGACATTAAAGGTAAAAACAGTAAAAAAAAGTGATTTCTGTTAATAGCTAATGGATTCATTATTTTTTAATGAATTAAGGAAATATATATTAAATTTTTGATTTCTGAAATATAATAAATATTGATAGACATAAACAAAAGTTCTTTTGAGAACTCAAACTTAAGAGGTATTAAAACCCAAAAGTTTGAGAAATGATATATTTTAGATTTTGGTACATTTCCCATGGAATAATGGTTACATGATCTCAGCCATTTATCTGAATTCTGTACTTCATAACAGTTAGGATTACTGTTTGGAAGTTCATAGAAAATAAATTTACCTGACATTGGCGACGTAGAACAATGCAAGGATGGGCCAAAACATTTTCTGTAAAGAGACTAAATAAGAATAATTTATATATATATATATATATATATACACACACACACACACACACACACATACACAGAATATAGCCAAAATTTAATTTACAACATATATGTATAGGAAGTCATTTTTGCTTGAAAATCATGCATTATTTTGTTTCCCATTCTTCAAAGAAAACAAAAATTTTTAAATGCCTAGTTAGCAAATCATTCTGCCAAAACAAAATTCAATATGAAAATAATCAAAGCAAATCTGCAAACTGGTAAGCAAGGAAAACAATATATATATAATATTAATATATATAGTATAAAGATGAAACTACATCTCTGTATGTCTGATATGGGAACTCCTTTCCTAGGTAACTTAAACACCCTCTTCTATTTCTTTCAGAAGCTGTCCTATGAACTAAGTTCCTATCAGAGGAACCACCTATTCTTCATGAACCTCATTCTATAAATTTTGGTTTTGAGGTACTTTTCACTTAAGTTCTAAGGATCTTAACGACTATGTTAATTGCTTATTTTATATATCAAGTATTTTTGGTGAAAGCATTCCCCACAAACTAATTACAAATGTGGGCTTAAGCACTATTACTGACACATGTCTCCACTCCACACACAAGTGAACAATAGCTTTAAGTATAAATAGTAGAGCTAAAGAAAAATTAACTCTAGCAGAAGTAAAATTTTATACACAAATTTTGTTCCTATTGACATTAACATCTTCAGGTTTAATATATGCAAGTAAGATCATTTTTATTGATTAAAATATTTAAAGCAATGAGTTAGTCTGGTAAGACTTTTTGCAAATTTGATGTTTTTAAGAGTATTCACTAAGGATCACATATACTTAAGATCATATAATCAAGACTGGAGGCTTTTCTTACACAAAATGCTCATCAAAATTTTTTTTTAAGTGGTACTCATTAAATAATTATAAATAAAACCTAGACTCCATGTTGCTTAATATCTTGTTATTATTTGCATGCTTAGGGAGACGGTTAAATGAAAGATGACTGTTTTTTTGCAGGAGGAGATAAGACTACATTTGATTTGATTTTTTGGATAGACATCTTTTGAAAGTTTGTTACACTATTCCTTAGAAAATTATTTTGTGATTTTCAAAGTGAATGAATATTCTTATTGTAAAAAAAAAATCATAGATTAAAATAATTTTTTCTGCAAAATATTATTCAGTATTTAATTTGCTGCTCCAAAGAATCAATCTAAAGGAAGCAATACTAATCATTTAATATTATAAATTACATTTAAAAAAATTCAAATAAAAACTTAAAAATCTTTAAATTAAACATTACCTTGCAAGTCCAATCCCAAATCCAGCAAATCTATTTAACTGCTCTAAAATAGAAGGAATAAGATTACTCATAACCTATATTTAGGTTTACTGTAAAAGCAACAAAAATATTTTTTTATTATCATATTTATTTGAACTCTAGGACCCCCGACTCAAATTCTGATAGGGAAAGTTATTTGAATGAGTGAAGGACTCTGTTGGGGCTTGTGGCAAGTTACAAGGCACAACTGCTGTTCAGCTCCACAATTCATTGTTGCTATGTGGGACTGTGGGCCCAGGGTTTCGCAGCTGTGATTTATCTAAAAAGATATTCTCATTTTTATATGTTAGCTTCCAATTTTAAAATATTGGCAACTATTTTAAAAAGAGTGAAAAGTGTGTGGGCCAAATCAAACATATCTGCAGACAGAATTAAGGCTATCAGTTTTCAACTTTTGACTTCAATTAAAATTTTTTTTCTGTAGAAGGCTTTGGTTGCTACTTACACCAACAATTTTACCTCCCATGTTGTAAAATTAGTCTTCACTGTTACTGATGGGAAGCATGTATGTTCAACCAACTGTAGCAACTAAAATACCTCAAAATTATTGAATTCAAAGAGTACTTAGGGTAATCATAATGGGTAAATAAGGCTCTCTGTTTCCTCAAGTTTTAAATACTTTCAGAGAAGCTGCTTAATTAGGTCTATGTAATAGGCTACTGGGTACATGGGAGCTAATGTTGATGGCATTTCTACAGTTTTAGAAAAGTTTACAGCTAGTAACACTCCTATGCATATGCCAAAACAGAAAAAATATTCTCCTTGACTAAAAGACTCAAAATCATAATAGTGAAATACCACAACTGAGACTACTAGACATTAAATTTCAGGTCTAGTACAATATTGAGAAGGGATCATTTTTCTCTCATCCTCACTCTCTGCTGTCTTTTCTTCTCTTTGAAATGAAGCAGTGCCCTCACTATTCTTGCACAGTCAGAATAAGGCCATGTAAACAAGTCTCAGTAAATTATTTGGGTCACCCTTGCCTTGAAAAAAAGTACACGGCAAATAAAAGCTTCTTTTGTCCAGTTAAGAAACTTTCCTCCTTTCAGCCTTTCCTTCTGTATGTACAGGTCATCCCCTAATACTAACAAAAAATTCTGCTGATATTTTCTGGCATGTGTTAGGAAAATTAACTGTGTAAGTCTCTCCGGCCTCTATCCTCCTTGCAAAATTACATTCACTAGCCTCTTAACTGATGCAAATATCCCCCTGGTTCTATTAAGAGCTCTTCCTCACTGTAACCATCATCAAAATAAAAATTACGAAAAGATAGGAACATCAGCTTTACTGCTTAAGAGGGTAGCTGCAACAATCATATATGCATTTTGAATGATTTTATTTGTAACATTCCAGAACCCTTTTTGGGACCTATGGAAAGAAAACTAGACAGACTGAAAAAGCTAATTGTATGACATTAAGTCACTGATCCTCCTCTACATCCTTATTTTTGCTCATTAGACAATATTTAAGTCTGTTCCTCCCAGTTGACTCAAATTAAATACATATTATTGGGCTTCCAAGTCAATATTTTAAAAAAAGAGAATAAAACTTACGTGTAGAATATGACTTAACAGTTAATGATATAACCTATTATTTTAACGATATCAGGACACTGGGAGGTGGCAGCCATTATCTCCATTTTATGAATAAAAATAAGTTGAGAATATCTAGATTACACAGCATTGCAATTATAACACAGGTCTTACAGAAAATAATTATGTCTTGATTTCAAAGTCTTATCCTGAGATTTTTCTCGGTCTTTTTAGTGAAGTTTTTAAGTCACAAAAAGGAACGCAGTAGGTGGGAAAATTAGGAGTACCTTGGGGTTCAGAAAACTGACACAAATCCCATGATTAAAAGGGAAAAGGAAGGAAACGAACATTTTTTAGCCAACTATGTGCTCCATACTGTAACAGGTATTAAGCACAGTTCATTTTAACACTCACAAAACTCTATTATTATTTTATCCAAAACAGGACGGCCTCAGAGGTTAATTAAAATCCTCAGCTTTTAAGAGTGGCAGAGCCAGGTTTGAGCCCAGGCCTGCCTTTGTTGAGAAACTTCTCTTTCCTGGACACAAGGCTACCTACGAATCAGTTAATTAAATCAAGGAAATAACGGTTGTCACTGAATGAAGTATTGTTCACGTGATTCAGGGTAACGAATCCAATTTCTCTCTTTCTTGATTCAGGTCATGGGACGTAATACGCCAAAACCCCAAACCCCTCGAAATTCCTACCACGCAGCACATAACTAACGCAGGTGTCTTTTTCGGAGGCGATCCCAGAGACAACGCTTATGCGAGGAAAAGGGAGGAGGCCCGATTCTGGGGCAGAGGACGAAAGGACGGCAGAGGGTGCGGCGCGCGACAATCCCAGCACCGGAGGCGGGACCCTCCGCGCGGCTTCCGCGGTCTGCAGGCCGCCAGCCGCGGCTCTGCCCCTGCACCCGCCCCGGCCTTGCTCCGCTCGTCCCTCACCGCTGCTCTGGCCCTGCACGCCGCCGCCGGCGCCGGCGCCGGGAAAGGGTTCCTCCGCGGGGCCCTCGAGCGGAGTGGCGGGGGCGGGCACGCCGTAGGGCGGGCTCTTCTCGCCCCAGTGCAGGTTGCGGCTACCCGGGATGTCTGGGGGAGTGGTCACCCAGTGGCTCAGGTCCGAAGCGGAGCTAAAGGACCTTGCAGGGAAAGTGCCGCCAAAGCCCTGCTCCTCGCGGGCACCACCCCGATAGCCCAGACCATCGAACCCATCCGGTCGCCGTGGATGCATCACAGACGGGGCCGATTGAGCCGAGCCCCCCGGAGCCCACCACTGCTGGAGCCCCGACGACCTCCAGCCACACCGCTTCTCCTGGGCCACCGCCGCGTCCGGGGAAATTCTGACAACCGGAAGTCACGTTTAAACACGGACGTCTACGGAACACGTGATCATAGCCTCTTCCGGCGGCCATTACAGATACGGTTGCTAGGGAGACGCGGCGGTAACCTAGGGCCAACCCTTGAAACTATCTCCGCTAGGTGTTCCGAAATGGAACACCGTGAGAGTACCAAAGAGATGCCATAAGGGAATTAGGATGGGAGGTGCGGCCTGATGAGAGGAAGATGAATAAAGATGTTTTATTGGCGGGGATAACGCGTCGGTGGAGCTGAGTTGCTGGGATCTCAGTCAGAAATGTCCCGCCACACACAAAGGCCTCAGATCTAGGTGTTTTCCTTCCTCATTGGGGTAACGCCTCTTCCGCCATAAGGGAGCTCTTAGAGGTTAGAGTTGCGGGGTGTTCGTAAAGTTCCCTGGCTTCGCCTCATGCCCTAAGCGTTTTGGATAAAATCTATAAAGAGATCTGGTTCAGTCCAGGGAACGCAAATGTACTGTAGACGGCTAGAGCAGGATAGAAAAGAACGTCGTTCTTTTAGACGGTATTAGAAAAGAATATCGTTCAAAATGGAGCCCCTAGCTGAAAAATGAAGAGGACGTCTGAAGAGTTCTCTACTAGCTGTTTTCCTGTGCCCCGTGGGTTCTTGCGGCAGGGTCGCCCTCCCTAGGTCTGACGAAGCCTTCCATGGGTTCTTCCCGCGTGCCTTCCTCTCCGCTGGACGCGCAGGATTACGAGGGCTTTCAGACGAGAACCCTGACGCACGATTCTCCATCCTCCCGGCGTGATCCTCTATTTAAGGTGGCAATTTCCCTCCTGAGTGGACTGACATTTTTCAGTTGGGTTGTGATGTGGCTGAGGCAAATGATTGAGTCTCACCCTTAACAATTGTATCCACTATAACTGGAGTACCAGTACCAAATTTCCTGACAAAATATCAAATTAATTACTGAACACGGCAATACAAAAATATTTCTCTGTTTCTTAGGAATGATTGGCTGAAGAATAGGACTGGCTCAGGGCCAAAACTTATATGTATTAAAAAGAGGAGGAGAAAAAGGCCTATGTATGTGTGAAATACTTTAAATATAGAGGTAATGGCATCTCACAATTTCACATCCCTAGCAGTGGAGAAAGGATGAATTATTAAAAGATGGACAGCTGGGTAGCCAGTTAAGGGGAGGAAACAGTAACAGCCCCACCTCACAGCTTACTCCCATATAAATTCCAGCTGTAATACAATATATTCTTTTTCTTACATTTTTAAAAGATTGAATATTGTGAGATAAATATTCAATATTGTGAAATAAAGAAAAGCTAAACACCATACGAGGGACCACCAAAAATATTTCTAAGGCCTACCTATTGAAAGTTTCATTAACTCTGGGAATCTCAAAATGGCCACCTTTGAAAACTTAAACTCCTCAACTCTATAATAATATCCGTTAATTAAAATCAAGTTAAAACCTAAACAAAGTATGTGTCACCACATCTGTTCTCCTTTGTTGCCCAGATACCTGCTCAAAGACAAAAGATAAGCAACAATGATTGTCCTTCCCCTTAATATCCTTTAGTGCCAAGATGTATATAGACCCCAATCCTTCTTTTAGCATTATACATTTTCTGTAAATGGAATATACCCCTCTGAAATTCTTACTTTCTTGCCTGTTTCCCCACATCCATAAAATCCTTTGTTTGTTGGACTCATTGAAACATTTCTCCTATCCATGGGAATTAGTGTTTCCAGTCTTGTAAGTCCTCAGCCAGGCTCAAATGAAACTCCATCTTTATTTCAAGGTGACACAAATGAATTTTTTCATCAACAATTGGAGGAAAATAATAGGTGAATTGATTTCTAAAAATGACAGCAAAGTCAAAGTTCATGTAGAGAAAGACTAACCAATTTGACCATATAAAACAAAAATTTCTTCATGGTAAACAAAAAAGGAAAAACATAGTAATCAAAATTGAAAGAAAATCCACAAAAAAAAAATTACATTTTAACATGATTTAGGCAATGGGTCACATTATTGTAAAAAAAAAGAAAAGAGCTATTGCCAATGAATAATGGTAAATCGGTAAAAATATGACCAAAAGGACACAAAGAGACAAGTCATAAAAAAAGAAATAAAAATATAATAGTTATATGAAAAAGTCTCTGCCTTCTAGTAATTGAAGAAAGGCAAATTTAGATAATAGCCATCTTTCCCCTGTTAAAATGACAATATTTAAAAGGGAAAATGTACATTGTTAGTTCAGTATGAGTAGTACGTCATTTCTGGAATGGGATAAAATATAAATGATGGAGAGCTGTTTGGCAATATGTATCAAAACCATAAAAATCATTATCTTTTGACTCCTAAATTAAGGAAAATACATAGTATGTATATATTTACTTATGTACATGTTCAGGATATAATTGCTCATAACAGGAAAAAATGTCAGGATATTAAATATCAAGTACTTGTTATTCATTAAAATGGTATATCCATATGAGCCTTTAATCAAGTATTATTTATTGAGCACCTATCTTATGTACATAAGCAATGGAGATAGAGTGATAGATAAGCCAAAATCCATGCATTGTTAGAACTGACATTTTAGTTAGAGGAAAACAGATAAATATATTGTGTCAAATAATGAAACAAACTTATAATGCCATATCAGATGATGACACATATTATGTATTTTTAAAAAATAGGTGTAAGGGACAGAGGCAGCATTTTTTAGACTGGGTTGTCAAGTTCTCTCTGAGGAAGTAATTTTTTCTTTAATTGAAATGTAGTTGTATACAATATTATATTGGTTTTGTATATACAACAGAGTGATTTGACAATTATATACATTACTAAATGATCACCATGATAAGTGTAGTTACCATCAGTCAATATACAAAGAAATTACAATACTACTGACTATACTCCCTATGCTGTACTTTCATTGCCGTGATTGATTGATTTTATAATTGGAAGTTTGTACCTCTTCATTCCCTTAATCTATTTTGTGCATTATCCCTCTACCCCATGGCAACCAGTATTCTCTGTTTATGGGTTTATTTCTGTTCTGTTTGCTTGTTTTTCAGATTCCACAGTTAAGTCAAATCATATGTTTTTTGCCATCTCTGACTATTACACTTAGCATAACTCTGAGGAAGTGATATTTAAACAGACCTAAATGAAGTGAGGGAATAAGCCAGGTGTGACTATCTGATAGAAAAATTTTCAAGCAGAACTACATATACATATATATACTTACTTAGTTCAGAACTACATATACATATATATACTTACTTAGTTCAGAACTACATATACATATATATACTTACTTAGTTCTGCCTTGAAAATTTTTCTATCAGATAGTCACACCTGGCTTATTCCCTCACTTCATTTAGGTCTGTTTAAATATCACTTCCTCAGAGTTATGCTAAGTGTAATAGTATAGTCCTGATATATATATATATATAGTCCTGATGACAAGCTAGGTAGACAGTGAGCAAGGGGTCACTGAGTGCTGAAAGGAGAGTAGGGGCCAAATTTTGCATAACCTTGCAGGTGAAAATTTTCACATAATTTAGGTTTTTTAAAGAGCAGAGGAATGAGGTGATCTTAGTGATATTTTAGAAAGATCAACCTGTGTTCTATATGGCACAAAAGCAGAAGCCTCCTCTGCTTTGTAGGCCATTGCAAGCTGCCCAAGCAAGAGGATACGAAGTCCCCCTTATCCACAGTTTCGCTTTACATGGTCTCAGTTACCCACTGTCAACCACAGTGGGGAAGCAGATGATCCTCTTCTGACAAATCTTCTGAAGTTCAATAGCAGCCTAACTCTGTGTCACAATGTCTCTCTCATTCACCTCAGTTCATCTCGTCACGAAGTGATTTTGTCATCTCACATCATCACAGGAAGGAGATGGGTAAGTACAATACAATAAGGTATTTTGAATGATCGCATTCATATAACTTACTATGGTATGTAGTAATTGTTCTATTTTGTTATTAGTTATTGCTGTTAATCCCTTAGAGTGCCTAATTTGTAAATGAAACTTTATTATAGGTATGTACATATAGAAAAAGACTATATATATAGGGTTTGGTACTATCCGCAGTTTCAGGCCTTCAGTTAGAGTCTTGGAATGTAACCCCCAAAGATAAGAGGGCACTACTGAAGTAATTTGATCTTGAGTGATAGTGGTGAATGAAGTGAATAGAACTAGAATCAGTATGTTTAAAGATTATCCTAGAAAGGGATACTAAATGGCAAGTGAAAATGTTCATGTTAAATTAAAAATATACAGTATAATTTCACTTTTGTAAAAATAATAATAAAGATAGGCACATAATAAAAGTTTATATGCCAAAATGATAAATTTATGTTACATCTAGGTATAGATTTGCATGAGTTTTATTTTTTTACTTTGCATTTTCTTATTGTTCTAAAATAAAGAGGGCTTTTTGTTGTCATTTTTGTTAAGAAGAAAGATTATTTTAGAAAAAAATCAATATAATGGATTCAATTATGGGACACAGCAATAATGATCTTTCTAGATTACTAACTCTGTTCATAGCATTTAATCTGCAGTCTCAAGCACTATCAAAGTTCTGCCATCCTATATTTCTACAAAATCTTTCTAACATAATGGTGCTGAAATGGTCTAGAGTGTATAGCTTCAAACTAGATTGAGACCTCATAAGACAGAAATTGAAACATGTAATTCTCTCTGGCATTTAAAAAGTGGCCAATATGCATTTTATAAGAATAACAGTGTAATATTTTATTAGTCAGTGTTGTAGCATAACAAATTATCCCCAAACGGAGCAGATTAAAACAACATTTATCTCATAGTTTCTGTGGTTCAAGAATTCAGGAGCAGCTTAGATGAGTGATTCTGGCCCAGGGTATCTCATGAATTTACAGTCAAGGTTTCAACTTGGGGTGCACTCATTTCAGATTTAACTAAGTTTGACTGGGACTGGAGGATCCATTTCTGAGATACCCAGTTAACTAATTTGGAAATCATTCCTCCTTTTCTCACTGGCTTGCTTTCAGGAGGTCTCAGTTCCTTGCCAGAGGAGCTCTCCATAGCACTTTCGAGTGTCTCTCAGGACATGACGCTGGCTTCTTTCCCAAGCAAATGATCCAAGCGAGTGAGGAAGAAACTACCCTGTCTTTTCTGACCTAATCCCACCTCCTTATTTCTGTCACATTCTATTTTCCAGACTAAGTCCAACCCCACGCTCAAGGGGAAGGGATATAGTTCCATCTTTTAAAGGGAGGATTATCAAACAATGTGTGTTCTTATTTTTAAATCATCAAAGTCAAATCATTATATAACAATTAGTGGATAGAGATAGTGTAGGCCCTAAAAATTAATAATTAGGAAAAATTTCACTTAATTATTAATAAAATGATATGGATTAAATTTGTGGTCTTTTCTCCTAGTAAATAGATCTAAAATTAGTTTTCTTTTAAAATAATCATATGATAGAAATATTTGTAATCATGGAATAGTTTAATATTTTAAAAATTCCAGTCATTATTGAGTTAGATTTGAGTTGAAATATAAGTGAAGAATGGCAGACTATTTAGACAGTTTTCAAGAGTTGATACAGAATGATATGACCTAAGCAAAAGTACAGAACAAGCAGTTCATTCATTATATTAATATTTTACTTAGAAATTCACCTCATAGGATAAAATAAAAATCATCTGCATTTTTTTTCAGTAATTCACTCAACAATATTTATTAAGCATTACTATGGGTAGGTCACTGTATTAGGTACTGTGATGCAACCATATACCATTTTCAAGGAGGAAATTAGAAGATATTTAAAATATGTTATTTCTCATGCATATTAGAATATGTATAAAAACCATACAAATCATTATGTTGGTATTATTATATATGTATTCATATATATATATATATATACCAATAAAAGTCTTCACAGTACATTTTAATATGCTCTAAGCCAAACCTTCCTACTTTTTCTTCAAACCTTACATTTAAACCATTTTATTCTTCACTCTCAAACTCTCCTAAAACACACACATACACACACTCTTACATTTGGGGACTTAAAGTATACTTGCATAAAATTGATACTGTAACTTTAAAAGGTTAGATTTTTTTTATTCTATGAAATATTTCCTTTAGTGACTTAAGTTTTTCTATTTGCTGAGGTCTATGTTTGTGCCTCTAAATATTCTCTTTCAAAAACATGTTATATATGTATATTTGTTGATATCCATTATTTAGTGTATAGTTTGAGTTGAGGAGCTAACTGAATTCCTTGATCCCATAATTGTGGAACATCTTTATTTTATATTCCTTTATGAAAACTGAGAAGTGTTCCTACCTTCTCACACTTCATTATTTTAACTTGGATTATAAAAGCTATAAACATATATCTCTTTCAAAAATTTTTTTTTGCCATTTCACTTTGCAGCACAGGGA